TATATAATTATATATCCATTTATACAAATATGTAAAATTATATATAGAATAGAATTTATTACACTTCAGCGTACAGTCAAGAAAGGGACTTGGTTAAAATTATATATAATTTTATATAATTCTATATAATTCTATATAATTACATATAAAATATTTTTTCCCAGGATATAATCGATCCAAACTTTAAAATAAAAGAAAAATGGAAATGTATGTATAAAAGCGAAAATATATGTAGAATATCACATAACAAATTTTATTGCTAAAGAATTCTCGAATATAATTATAATTTTAATCACAAATTATAAATAAAGAATATGCAATAATTCTCTTTACTAATTTTTGTTCCAGATTTCTCTGTAATTATTGATCGATAATTACCGCAACTGCTCTGAATCTTGAAATAAAATGATTCATTCGCAAGGAAAATGAATACTTTAATACAAGCATATTTCCTGATTCAGTCAAGTGGTAAGTGCATGCACATAAATTTTTCATACTTTTTATACTTTATAAATGAGGCGTTATTGGTATTAATATATGCGACATAAGATCAATTGGACTCTTAATTGTTTGCATCACATTATTATTATCAGTCATACTGTCCCTTATGTAATCGCAATAACATTTATATTACATCATCTGTAATCTCAACACTTAATAGTACACTTAACATTACATATACATATAACGTCGCATCGTAACATATACATTGCAACATACATGCAGCCAGTTCTCTCTCCTAAAAACTCGTTTGATAATTACAATTGACTATATTGCCGTACCTGCTGGCACGTCTTTAAGCATTGACGAAAGAACAAAGCTTTTTATCATCTTCATCGTAGCACATTAAAAAGTCTACCATTATTTCCGCTGCTCCCGTTCTAATGGCAAGATATACAGGTATTTTACAAGCGCATCTTCTCGTTTATTATCTCGTTCAAACATGATGATCTTATGAAGTACATCGAGCTAGATCTTACGTACCCAGACAGCACACAATATTTATAAATACTTGGCAAATATTTATAAGATTTATTTTAAATATTTCGTAAATATTTTTGTGGTCTTAGACCATAAACATTTATTATAAATATTATGAAATATTTATTGTAAATGTTACAATAAATGTTATGAAAATTAATGAGACATTATAATCCAAGTAAAAAATACTTATTAGAAGTATTTATTTATATTTATCATAAATATTACATAAAATATTTAGTCTATATTAATAATATTCAAATAAAGCTTTATATAAAATATGTATGAAATATCTACATAACATTTAAAAAAAAGAATATTAATAAATATTTATCATAAATATTCTGTGCTGTCTGGATATATAGTACATTTATAAAGATGTCTTATTGATAAAAGCATGACGATGTTACAAATTACCTTTAAATCTTCGTTGCAATCAATCTTATTGACTGCATCCTACTTTGTTGCACTTCTTGCATTTTCCTTTGCTGGCTGCAAAATTTTGTACATAAAATACGCATGTAGAATTGTATGCATTTACAACGCTACGTTCATTAGGTCAAAGCATTTTCTTGTTCTTCGTACATTTAATTTACCCTGTGTATTACAACCGCGTTCAACTCTGCCTGGACATATTTCGTGCAAAACAAGTAGCGATGACACTCTATAAATTAAGTATCGAGATTTTGTGTAAGCGAGACCACAATATTATCTCAACCGCTAATATTATCAGTGCAGCGGTATAAAAATGGATTTGAACAAACACAGACCCACAGATTCGAGCAAGCACAAACGAATGACTTGTTATCTCTGGCGAAAATAAAAATTGGAGTGTGAGTTGAACGTAAAAAGAGAATAACAGGAATATAAACGAAGCTTCTGGAGGCGAAAATTGAGACCACGAAACATAAAAGAAGCGTAAATGCCTCTTTTACGTTTTGTTGTCTCAATTTTCGCCTCCTGGAAGCTTTATTCACGCTTCTGTTACTTTCTTCTTACACATTCAACCTCGATTTTTATTTTCACCAGAAATGTCGCCGGCACCATTTTTACTGAAGAGAGTGGTTCATTTATGTTTGCTCATTCGACTTGGATCTGTCTGTAAAAAAGAAATAACGAAATATGAGACATCCGGGATATTACGCTTGTCGCACTTCTCGATGTTTTTTTTTTCAGTGATAGCAACAGAAGTCGCATTGTAACAATGTATCACTCACGCCATACTACGCACACGACGCGCGATAAATGAACACATTGACCAAGCTTCATTTGACCCTAGACATCCATTCGACAGTAATCTTACGCACATTATTCATATAATTTTCTAGCGAAAACGAGTGTTATAAACGATTGGGAATCGATCAACGATATGTATAATAAGTTCGTGTAACTCGCACATGGGACGAAATTAATCTAATTGAAGTAAAAACAATGGCTCTCTTTTTTTTGTAGTAACAATAAGCGAGATCGTGCATTTCTTCTGCTCGACCAGTGATATACAAATAATTAATTTTTCCTGGATCTCTAGACTAATGTATTATTTCATGTGACTGATAATAAAGTGTCACTTAAAAGCTGACTTTGCGACGTATAATATTGTCATTTTTAAAATAAATATATATTTACACAAAAAAAAAATTATGACAAACTGAATAATTTAATATTGAAATTAAAAAGATTTAGAGAACTTAATTTAAAAAATATTCATTTTAAATTTAGAGAAATTTATTCAAATATAAATAGCTGAAATAAAGTGCGCTCCACACAACACGGTTTTCGAAGAAATATCCTCTCTTAGAACTGTGTTGTGTGGAAATGGACACAAAGCGCATCGTGTATTACGCCGCGATTAATATCGATCGCCGTTACAGCGATACAGGATAGTGAGCTGCAAGTGTCAGATATGTACTTGTTTTTGATGCCGTCGATGTTGCCTTCCGGTTTCCGTCGTTGAATCGACATTTCAAAACTCGGAATGAGGTCGCCGTGATAGCCAGTCGGCGATCGCTGAAATTTCATGTACCCGTTTTTTCAAGCCACGTAACGCCGGATAATTCTCTAAAGCAGTCGCGCCGAAAATGTTCTCAAAGTTCTCCAACGCCACGGTGAATACGAAGTCCGCCCACGTGGTCTGCAAAGCAACGGGGCAATTTATCATCGAAACGAAATTTTTTTTTTTTATTTATCGTGGTATCGCATAAAGAACTGTTTTAATTAAAAGTCCTGGATACGCGATACTCGACGTCCGTTCAATGCGTTCGAGCTCCTATATCACTCTATTTCGATTTTAACGACGAGAGCGTTGAACAAGATAGCAAATAATATTTTATTTTCGCTCATTTTATATTCCTCTGCACATAATTTAGCTTGCTTTAATTTATACTTAATTAAACAGACTCTCTCGCGTAAAGGCAAGATCGTTAGAGAGGTTTCTCTTTACCGTAGAACCGACTGCGTAACCACCATTCTCAGCAACAGTTTGCTCGAACTTATTCAGGTAGAACGGTATTGTTTCCTTCAGAAGCTTCGCCTTCTTCTCCTCCTTCTTAAAGTGATCCTCCTCTGTGCGATATTGAAAGATAACTGAAAAGCAAATCGTGCGCGAGTTTTAGTGGTTCATTGTGCAATTATTATAAAGTATATCATTGTTTACGCTCCGTAAATATCCAAGTACTCTCAAAGACTGTTTATTGAACGATCATATAGATTAAATTTCTAAATTCCCGATACTAGAAGATCTCATTAGAGCGTCCAATTAGAGTCGTTCGCATTATTATTCAGGGATTACGTTGGCGGTGATCTAGTTGTGGTACAACGTACCACGTGAGATTTCGTGAGAACGCTTTTCCGGAGTGATAGCCGTCCGCTCGATTATGTGACGACCTCGTGGAGCTTGGAAATATAGGTCGCGCGAGATCGCGCGTGTCTTTCAGAGAAGCGAAAAGCGGAACTACTTTCGCACCCGTCACTGGGCCGCCATCCTGGAGTTTTCCCGGAAATTTATGTCGAGCATCGCGTTCGCGTTGCGCACTTTTTCTTTCTATCTCCGTGATAGCATCTCCGGGAGCATCTTCGATGGACCGTTTCGTTTTCCACTTCTCTGAGGAAGATTCGTCTTCTGGAGCTCGAGTATCATAGATCGAAGATATCGATTGACGCTCGACTTGCAAACTTGACGGGACTTGATTAAGACTGTTTTCCTTTTAGGAGACACAATCGATGTGAGTGTCGTTCTATTTTTTCTATGTTGTTTATTGCAGAAGGATAGAACCACGTTTGTCTCGATTGTGGTTCCTGTTCTGTAACTCTTCTCTTAATTAACAGTAACGATATCGTTACACTGGCGTTGCGCAGCTCTTTTATTATGTGTACAACTACTTATGTAACGACAATGTAATACCATGTTACTGTCATGAATGATGCAAAAGGCACAGTGTGAGGGTGGAAGTACAGAATCTTGCATAACACTTAATGTATAAGAGAATAAACCAATCAAAATTCTTCATTTCCTTTTTTTCCATAAAATAAGACTCTGATTGATTGATTGATTCTCTTATACTTTATTATGCAAAGTACTCCGGCCTTAAGTAATCGTTTTATCTCTATTTTACATTGATAAACAACAAGGATGTAATTGGTGCTTTCCAAAAGACTCAGTGTAATACAATGACCATTTTATCTTTGTTTAACATTGGCAAACAGCAAGGGTGTAATGACACCCTGTGTTACACTGTGTCATCTGTGTCTCTTGGAAAGTTCCTAAAAGTTACAAAACAGGGGCCTAATTGTAGGAGTTTTCCAGCAAGGACACAGTGTAACACAGTAAATGATTATCTTGTTGTTGGTCAACATTAAGCGAGGATAAAATGATTCACTGTGTTACACTGTGTATTCTTGTTGGAAAGCGCCCTGTATATAAGTCTTTTAAAAGAAAAACAGTCGCGCAATGAGAACGATACGGAATTTTCGTCGTGGATGATAGCGATCCTCTACAAAAACGAGAAATCGCGACTGGAGATAGACTCGTGACCGAAAAGGAATATCGATTCGGTGTCGAGGTGGAGAGGGAGAGAGGGTTGTAAGCGGCTTTTCGGGACCGTTGTGGACTGCACCAGGCATATGTATCACTTACATTGTTTCAAGTCTCCCAAGGTATCGACCAGCACATCGCACAACATCGATTCCCATTCGTCCTTGCCCGCGAGATTGTGCTCACGGGCCAGGTAACGAGCCACGGCGTTGCTTTGCGCTATCGGCTTGCCGTCTATCTCCAGAACTGGCAGCATCCCGTAAGGCATCGCTGTGAACAGGAGAAAGCAATCGGCGGGTTGTGTTTAAGCGCCAGCTTAAGTGGAAACGAAGGATTCGAAGCAATTTGTCTTCACTCGAGCTATCGATAAGAATGTACACCGTACACTTTGATTAATTTTAAATTGTTAGAATTATTTCGTGTTTATTAGTGTCGTATTCTGTTGTTCTTTTGTTCTATTTATGTTCAACGTGAATTTAATTTTTAATTATAATTGAAATTAAATTAAAATTGAGAGTCTCTTGCGTGAAGTTTTATTTAAGTTTATTAGAATTCGCAATGCAACAAATTTACATATTGCAAGTTATTTTAATTTCACTTCTGGCACTTACACTTCTTAAGCTCAGGCCAGCGGTCGTTGGAGATCCTTTCGTCGATATAGTCGATGCCCGCGTAGGCGAATATGTAGCGAATATGCTCGGCACGACCTCGTGCATTGAAGTAGATCAATTTGTACTTCGGCTGTTCCTCAGCCATCTTCCTTACTCGCGATCTGGAAACTTTTGAAGGTGTCAGAGAAGTTATAAGTTCAATTTCAGACTAATTACCGTCGTTAAACTACTTTTGAGGGAGTGAGTAGAAATGGCCTCCATATGGTCAGACAGGGCCAACGAAATTCGTATAGAACAAGATGACATTCGACGGTATTAATAAAAAGTGTTGCAATTTCATTTTCAGGAAATTTTAGTTGCGCAATCATTCTCCGGTATTGTTTCATACATTTCTTTGAAACTTTCTTCTGAGAGAACATTTGAAGTTGTATTGACAAAAAGAACGATTTTGCCGAAGTATCTAAAAATTTTGTTAAATGCAGCTCTGAAAATAATTTCGTTGGACCATTAAAATAATTGAGTAGAATAGGTACTTAAGCATAATTATAATTTAACACATTATGAATTTAACAGTGTACTCACACTGTTAAATTCATAATGTGTTAAATTATAATTCATTTATGAATTATTTATAATCATTTCTAAATCTCGCCACTACTCCTACTTAATATTTCATAATTTAATTCAAACAATGGAGTTAAACAGTTTGACGAAAATGTACTAAATTTGTCTAGAATTTAATTTATTATTTATACTAACTGCAGACCGTTATTTACTTTAAAACTAATTACACATAGAAAGAACAATTTTACTGAAATATCTAAAAATTTAGGTAAATATAGGTCTAAAAATAATTTTGTTAGACTATCAAAATAACGATGTAAAAAACTCAAGCATGACAAGCAACATTGCTTTGATATCTAATAAAAATTTTGACATTCTAACGACCACTTTAAACATTCTACATAATTATTTTGATAATCCAACAAAATTATTTTCAGATCTAGCTTCGGTATTTTCAGATCTGTATCTAAAGTTTTAGATACTTCAACAAAACCGTTATTTCTATGCAGAAATGGATTGATTTATATTTCGACACACGTAAAAGTTAAAAATAATAAAATGTCATATTCAATACAAGAGATTGGGCTACTATTGCTTCTTTGACATCTAACAATGCAAAAAGTTTTGACATTCGAGCAATCAACTTGGACGACCTATATAGTTATTTTGATGATCTAACAAAATTATTTACGGATCTATATCTATAAACTTTTAGATATTTTTAAATATTTTTAAATCGTTCTTAAATTAGATATGAATCATATAAATCATTCATAAATTAGATATTTTTAAGTCGTTCTTTCCACGAAAATAAGGATATAAATAATTCTTTGAAAGACAGTTTTATGTGATCGTGGTATTGTGTGCTTACGGCTAGTTTTTGTTCCAACCTTTTCCAAACGAAGACGTTCTATCTTTGTGGGTGATCTACGTGATAATTCACGATATCGCTTATGGATCCTGACTCTACCTTGAGGATACTATATGATCTATCTAGAGTATCTTCACTGCGGGTGGTCGACTTGTTTCGGGAAGTAACGATAGGGTTGCATGATTACGTGCGTGTGAACGGTGGGGTTTTATCAAATTTCGGGGATCGGAGGCCGGAATAGATAAGCCGCGGCATAACTGGCAAACGCGAGCTTACTTCCTGAGTTTCCTTCACAAATCGCGGGATTTCGTGCGTCACCGGTATATGCATTGTACCTATATATGATATTGTATATCTATACACGGAGAAAATTTTATATTAAGTTTTAATACAATTTTAAATTACACTTTACTATGTCTTGTATTTTCGATGGACTCTCACAACATAATTCCGAT